CTCATGTATTTTAACAAGCACACCTCCTGATACCTGCTTTGGTTCTTGGTGTACAGCTGTATACACTCAAAGCATCAAAATCACCATAGAAAAAATACACCACCCAGGAAATCAGAGCTGGGCTCTGCTGGGGCATCCACGATAGTCAGCCTCATCCAGCTTCAGCCAGGTGCTGCTTTCAGCAATCCTCCCACTCTGCTCCACCACGCTGGGTTTCTCCTGAGCCATTCTACCACTGACCAAACCTCATCAAATCCTCATTCCCCAGCAATCTGTCTTACCACAGCCTTCCACAAATCCAACACACTCATCAATGCAAGCTTTGAACAGTTGTCTGGGATAGAGTACCTAATTTTCACCCAATGCTAATAAATACCCACACTATACTGTGATTATACTGTAAGTGCTTAGATATAGCGCATCAGGTACAAAACAGAGATCACTGAATGGGCATACACACCACAAGGGTTTTTTCAGATGCCTGTGCCCCTGCTGTCCATGAACTTCTTGGTTCCTGCACTCAAAGCCCAATAATTCAATTTTAGAACAGCCTATATGTATTTTATGTATTAGTTATATACAAACTTCATCAGAACAACAGAATGCTCCTGCATGTAGCACACCCTGCCATTTAAGACAGATAGTCTAATTGCAGTGTTTGGAGGCACAGATGAAGGCACTTGTTCCTTCTTCTGTCTCCAGTCACAGCAAAGTTTCTGAAGTTTTTACTTTCTGATTTATCAGCATTTCTGATGATTCAGCACAGCCCTAAGTGTGCTTGACTGACATGACATATCTCAGGAATGGTGTGGGGAAATTTGGTGTCCGTCAAGCAATGTTGTTCCCTGCCGGGGATGAAATGACTCCCTGAAATGAAAATAAGTGACTTTGATTTAAAGATCAAGAATGCAACAAAAATTGAATGAAGACTATTACTTCTGGTTGAATAAAATCTATTTCCCTTAGGCTCCTGGGCAGCTTTTACAATAAAACATCCAATCTTGAAACTAAATGAGAACTGTTTTGGAAGAGGAATCATCTCAGATAAGACCTTGTGCTCAAGCTGGGTTGTTGGCTGCCTGTGCTCAGCACTTACAGTTAAATTACTATCCACATAAATCTTTAGAATGGTGAAATCTGTAGTTGTGATTCTTGTATTTAAGTTGTCTCTGCCTTTGTTTACCTACCAAAAATGATTGGTAGGTAAACTTGGAGATTGGATTGTTTGGGTTTTTTGGTGGTTATGTTTGCTTGTTTTGTGGGATTTTTAAATTTTTTAATTAAGAAATAGACTCTCAAATCCTACATAAATTTTAAATTATTTCATACTAAATGAATATTTTAATAAAAATTCCACTAAATTCAAGAGGCAGGATACATACAAGACATTTTCTGTCAAATAAAAGCTCTTGTCACAGCACTGGAAAGGAAAAGAGCATACACACACTTAACATTAGCAGACCAAATAGCCAGAACCAACATCCACAAGGTGTCCTACCCAACGTGCTTAGCAGAATGGTCAATCAGAAGGTATATCTGGATGCCCTTTTACAAACACTTGACTTTGAAACACCAAAAACCTCAAACATCACTATCTAATGGAAATACAGGGTAGTGCTGTTTCACAGAGAAGTGGAAATCAAATAAGTACCTGGTTAAATACTTACATCACTTTTGATATGGTCTTGCCCTCGCAGCCAAGGAGTCTTACACCATTCATCTTTGTTAAGGGCACAGCCCAGTGCCTAAAGACAGATTTCTGTTATCTCAGGGGATGCCTTAGACAGGTCCACCTGGTGTACAGCTGCTGGTCCAGAAAGCCTGGAGCACAAGTCTTACTGGGAGCAGTTGAGGGAACTGGGATTGTTCAATCCGGAGAAGAGAAGGCTCAGGGGAGACCTCATCACATTCCACAGCCACCTGAGAGGAGGTCACGGTGAGGTGGGGCTTGGCCTCTTCTCCCAAGTTACGGAGATAGAACAGGAGGGAATGGCCTCAAGTTGCACCAGGAGAGGTTCAGGTTGGATGTTAGCAAGAATAAGTTCTCAGAAAGAGCAATGGCACAGACTGCCCAGGGAGGTGGTGAAGTCACCGTCCCTGGAAGTGTTCAGGGACCACCTGGATGTGGCACTGAGGAACGTGGGCAGTGGGCATGGTGGGGACTGGCTTACAATTGGACTAAGTGATCATATAATCATAGAATCATTAAGGTTGGAAAAGACCTCTATGACACCATCTCCCATAGCTGCTGCTACCCCCACTGAGTGCCAGAGCATCCCAGGAAGAACAAGGTCTCCAACTTAACGCTGTGTGTCCAAGTACAAACTAAACATCACCATCTAGAACACCTATCAGCCTAAATCTACAATTCCTGACGCCTATGCTTGTGGAGCTGGCAGGAGCTTTGCCAGCTACCTCAAATGGCACAAGACAACATGATAGACACGGTATTCAAATATATGCATTCAAACTGGAAATGGAGCAACGCAAAGAAGCAGGAAGCAGAAGAGAGAAAAAAAGTGCAAAAGAATAAGCTCATGATCAACAATGGCAAGAACAGGAAGCAGTAGTATAGAGGTCCTGTTACCAGTCACCATTTAGCCATATCTGAAAATGGCAAACTTTCTTTCTGATAGCGATGGCTCAGTTTGTTACTCTCAAAACTTAAGAGAGTAACAAAAGTACTTTAGTGTCAGCCAAGTCTAGTATAACGTTCCTTAGCAGGAAAACTGTGGATCATTCACAGCTACAGGCTTGGGGCAGAGTGGCTAGAAGACTGGGTAGAGGAAATGGCCCTGGGGGTATTGATTGATGCTTGGCTGAACATGAGCCAGCAGTGTGCCCGGGTGGCCAAGAAGGCCAATGGCATCCTGGCTTGCATCAAAAATGGTGTTGCCAGGAGGAACAGGGAAGTGATTGTCCCCTGTACTCAGCTCTGGTGAGGCCGCACCTCGAGTGCTGTGTCCAGTTTTGGGCCCCTCACTGCAAGAAAGACTTTGAGTCCATGGAGTGGGTTCAAAGGGCAGCAAAGCTGGTGAGGGGTCTGGAGCACAGGCCTTATGAGGAGTGGCTGAAGGAGCTGGGAATGTTCAGCCTGGAGAACAGGAGGCCCAGGGGAGACCTTATTGCTCTCTGCAACTACCTGAAAGGAGGTTGTAGTGAGCTGGGGGTCAGCCTCTTGTCTCTAACTGGTGATAGGACCAGAGGGAATGGCTTTAAGCTGCAACAGGGGAGATTCAGGCTGGATGTTAGGAAATACTGCTTTTCTGAAAGAGTGGTCAGGCACTGGAATGGGCTGCCGGGGGAGGTGGTGGAGTCACCAACCCTGGAGGTGTTCAAGGAACGTTTGGATTTTGTGTTGAGGGACATGGGTTAGTGAGAGCTATTGGTGACAGGTGGATGGTTGGACTGGGTGATCCTGTGGGTCTTTTCCAACCTTGGTGATTCTATAAACTATAAAATGTGGACCAAATTCTGTGGTAATCCAGAAGCAGTCAGGAATCTCCTCCACATGTAAGAGTCCATGCTGTTTCACTTTGAAATATACTTTCCCCTTTTTTTCCCTATCACAAACATGCAGCAGCTTTTAAAGCATAATATTATCCATGTGCTCTTAAAACCTACTTCAAGGTGTTACAGAGAATCATAGAATCATTAGGTTTGGGAAAGATTTGGAAAAGACCTCTGCAATCACCTAGTCCAACCATCAGCCCACCCCCACCATGCCCACTGGCCATGTCCCTCAGTTCCCGTTTCCCAGTGCTGCCCGTCCTTGTTTTAGTGGGCACAGAGATGCTGAGCTCTCCAGTAGGCTTTTTTTCCTCCTTGCTTGTAACTAGAGAAACTTCTGCAGATATCAAACTCAAAAAGCCTAACTTCCAGGTGAGGTAAAATACTAAAGCTTTGTAATATTCTTCCACTGAAATCATTAGAAAAGTAGCTGTAGTGTTGTTACCAAGGCATCCTTAAGATCCTAAGTCAAATTGTTAAAGAATTTCTTCTGTTTTTAGTAATTCACAGATATTTTCAGAAAACATTATTAATCCTGATCTGGAAGACTGCAGGCACAACAGATGCTCTTATTCTTATTACAGTCCCTCTAATTTTGGCCACATTCTTCAATAAATATGCTCAGGTCCAACAGTACACACACAGCCTTCCTGACTTTGTCCCTCCACCACACTCAGCATTCACTGATAAGTAGTTTGTCTACTGATAAAAACCATCGTGCTCCAGACTTTGCTCAGAGGGGTCCCAGAGGAGGGAATATAAGCAGCTTAAGGTGGTTACTGCCTACAGAAATTACACATCTGATACTCCATCTCTGTGGATGGATGGTGGTCCCACCACTAGACCCCTGATTCCAGTAGAATCTCAGACATGGGACAAAAGGAAGAATGAAAAGCTTTCTACACTGTAAAATGACATAAACTGGTACAATTTTTCCCTAACTCGACTTTTCCCTGTCCAAACATTGGCAAACTGGACAACTGCAAGGGACATGATGATTCTGGTCAGTTCACTTCACTGACTTTCTGATTATAGAGCTGTCGAATCTGAGGGTATTTATCCTAACGCTGACTGCAGTAGGTTAGAAAATCCCAATATCCCATTTTAATACACATTTTCCAGTTTTCTCCACCTCAGCCCTCCCTATGTAGTGTGCTGAATACTCTTCTTGGTACATTCCAAAGATCTCAAAATGTTTTAAAAACCACTTAATCACAAGTCATAGCCAGCAATCTGAAACAGAAGCCGCACAATTCATTCACAGCCATGCCCTGGGTCCCACCCCCACAGTGTCTCTGAGTCAACCAGAACCGAGAGCCATACGTATGCATTCCATTTAAAGCCAGGGAAACCCGAAATGAGGCAGGTTTACATGGAGTGCTAATAGCCAAATCCCTTTAGCCAGGTCAGGGCTTTGACTGCTAGATTTAAATACCGCCCATCTGAAAGGCTGCCCCGGGGCTCCCGAACCCGGCCTTCCCCCACCCTACCTTGACGAAGAGAGAGATGTCGTACTCCTGCTTCTCCTCATCCTCCAGCGCGGTCGGCGAACCCGTCTCGTCCTCCTCGTCCTCTGCCCGGCCCTGCACCCCGTTCAGGCTCAGACCCGCCGACTCCCACTCACCGCCCTCGGTGCCCGGCCACCCTCCGGGCCGCCCCGCCGCCGCCGCGCCTCCTCCCCCCGAGGCAGCGTTCTCCTCTCCGGCCTCCGCCGCCTCCCCGGTGCCGGCTCCTCGCTCAGCCCCCGGCAGAACCTCGGCTCCGTCCTCCCCTTCGGGGCCTGCCGGCGACCGCCGGCCGCCATCGGTCTCCCCTGCAGCCGGCACCGCGTCCTCTGCAACCCCGGGGCGCTGGGTGGCCTCTTCGTCTCCAGCTGGGGTCTCTTCCTCCTCCTTCTCAAGTTCTGCCCCCGACGGGGCTTCCTCTATCACCGCTTCTTCCTCGGGGCTTGGCGCCGACGGGGCTTCTTCCTGCACCGCGTCCTCGGGGTCTGTCCCAACCTGGGCTTCTTCCTGCATCACCTCTTTGGGCTCCGTCCCCGACGGGGCTTCCTCGCTCATAGCCTCCTCGGGTTCCGTCCCCAATGGGGCTTCCTCTTTCATAGCTTCCTCGGGGCTTGGCCCCGAAGGGGCTTCCTCTCTCGTAGCCTCCTCGGGGTCCGTCTCGGACGGGGTTTCATCTCTCACTACCTCCTCGGGGCTTGGTCCCGACGAAGCTTCTTCTCTCGCTGCCTCCTCGGGGACCGTACTGGACGGGGCTTCCTCTCTCACTGCATCCTCAAGAACCGTCCCGGACGGGGCCGCCTCTTCGGGTTCTGCTCCCACCGCCTTCACCCCCTGTACCACATCCTCGGGGTCCGACCCCGACGGGGCTGTCACTGTCACTTCCTCGGGCTCTGCTACCGCCGGGGCCACCGCCGCTTCTTCGGGCTCTGTTCCCACCAGAGCCACTTTCCCCGCCGCCTGCTCTGGCTCTATCCCCGCCGGCGCGGACTCCAGTCCCGCGGCCGCTGCCGGTTCCCTTCCCTCCAGAGCCGCACCGTCCCCATCGGGTCTCGGCAGCTCTGCCTCCTTCTGTTGCCCCGCTCCTTGGCTTTCCGCTACCCCTCCGGGCTCTCCACCACCCTCTTCGCCGGGCACCTCGTTGAGCACGGCGGCCTCCTCTTGCCCACCGGCACCCCCTCCGCCGACGGAGGACTCATCGGTGGGTTCCTCTCCCCCATCGGGGCACAGCACGGTCTGCGGCTTCCCCACTGCCTCCGCGCCTTCTTCTTCGCCCGCTCCCCGCGGCTCGTCGCTCCCTACCGGCTGACCCGGGCTCTCCGCCATACCGCCTCCCCGGGGCGCCGCCGACACGAGCGCAACCACAACCACCGTACCGGGATCAGTGTTGGACACCTACGGGCAGCGGGGGAACGGCCGCGCCTGCGCTGCGGGCGGAGGCAGGGAGGGCGGCGAGGGGGTGGCAGGTGCGGTGCTCCTCCTCCTCCCTGCTGCCCCGACGGGTCCTCTCCCTCTGCAGCCAACCTGCCCCGGTAAATCGTTCGTCCCGGGGAAAGCCCGAGCTCGCTTCCCCTCCCCGACCCCATTTCTACCCCCCGGGCTTCTGTCCCGTGGTACCAGCACGAAGCCTTACAGAAGCTGCCGGTTTGGGGAAGGTGGCTGTGAGTTCAGGTTCATCCCCCAGGCTGCCTTCTCTTCCAACTTTCACGCTTGATAATTTCTCTCGTTTATGGAAGTACTTTGCATAAAAATGAGGATCGGTGGGTTCTGGTGTGAGAACCATCTTCACTAGATTTTGCTTGTAGGCAAGAGGAAATCATTTAGTAGGAGGTGCAGCCTGCTCCAACCACACTCCCTCAAGTCTAGTGGTGCTGATGGTAGAGAAGCATTCGCTATTTCACAGGTCATAGAATGGCTTTGCTTGGAAGGGACCTTAAAGATCATCTGGTCCCAACCCCAGATTTTTGTGATGGAGAACCAGGCTCCAGTGGCAGCACAGATTTGGGTGACAGATCTGCAGCCCAGTGGCATCACAGTCAGATGCTGGAGATCCAGATCCCAGTGATGCCTGAGATCCAAACCCCAATGGCATCATTGAGTTGGGTGATGGATATCCAGACTGTGGAGGCATCACAGAGTCAAATGATGGAGACCCAAACTCCATTGCCATCCCAAAGCCATGCCACACACCATCCCTATTTGTCCCCTGCTAACAGAAAGTAGTTTCTAGTTTTCTAAGGTGCAGAGGGGGAAGTGGATGGAAAAGTGAGCTGACAAGGGGAAGCAGAAGTTAGAAAAAGCACACAGTTCAGCACTGTGATGCATGTGTATGTATATAAAACCACTTTGTATGTTTGGATGTGGAAAGAGTGGGCTGAAGATAGATTTTTGAGTGGATGGAAACAGAGAAAGCTCAGCCAGCAGGAGACAGGCAACAGTGAAAAATAAATAATTCAGTCAGACAAATACCCACTCTGATAATAATCTGACAGACACTTTCCATAGAAGTTGTGCTTGCCTGGAGTTGCTTTGCTAGTGAGGCAGAAGAACAGGGAGATGCAGCCTGACCTGCTGGGCAGCTGTGGTCATCAGGGATGATTCTGGACACTTGGCAATGATGGGTTTAGCATTTGGCAATAGCAGTCTTGTAGTTGGACCCATAATTAAGCAATTATTTCATTTCTCTTACGGGTTCTAATATCAGTAGGCTGACACATCTCAGTCACCTCTATTTCTACACAGATAGGGCTAGTTCACTCATCTGAGGTCTTGCTGAAGGGACCATAACAGGTGGCCCAAAGGTTGCACCCCACGTACAGCATTTTACACGTAAGACAGAGCAGAGCTGGAGGCAGCAGAGTAGGCAAGCCATGAGCACTGCCATCCTTTGTGTGTTTCCACAGGTATACACACAGATGCTTTTTTCATTTTGGTGGAGTTAGGACCTGGCAATGCCATGTGATTGGGTCCGTGCTGCCTGCTTTAGCAGCCCACTCTGCTCAACACTCTTCTCTCAATTACTGAGCAATTACTTAACAATTAATCTCTCCCACTTGGTGCTCTTTTACACTGTCTTCAAGCTCTTTACATCCCATCTGTTTCTAACACAGGCCCTCAGCTAATAAATATTATTTCCCTAGTTCAGCTTTGGGAAGGATTACTGCATACCTTCTTCATTTAGAAGCTGAGCGCAGGTAATTAAATATCACATATGTTCAACATTAGTGGGCAGCATGGCGATCCCCTCACAGCCTGCTGGAAGCATGCTGCATCCTGAGGTCCTATCAATTACGCTGCATTCGCTTGGATTATTGTCACTTCCTTTCCTCCCTTCACTGCATGGGGAATCATGCACTTATCATTTTGCATCCTAAGATAAGGGAAAAAATGCCACTTACATTTTATAGAACCATAGAATGGATTGGGTTGGAAGCAATATTAAAGATCGTTTAGTTCCAACCCCTGCCATGGGCAGGGCTGCCCCCCACCAGCTCAAGCTGCCCAGGGCCCCATCCAACCTGGCCTTGAGCATCTCCAGGGATGGGGCACCACAGCTTCTCTGGGCAGCTGTGCCAGCACCTCACCACCCTCTGAGGAAAGAATTTTCTTCTAACACCTAACCTAAATTTCCCTTCTTTTAGTTTAAAGCCATTCCCCCTTGTCCAATCACTACCAGATCATGTAAAAAGACTGTCTGCCTTCTGTTAATAATCTTCCTTCAAGTACTGGAAGGCTGCAATGAGGTCTCCCTGGAGCCTTCTCTTTTCCAGGCTGAACAAGCCCAGCTCCCTCAGACCTTCCTTACAGGAGAGGTGCTCCAGCCTTCTGACCATCTTCATGCCCTACTTTGGATCCACTCCAACAGCTTCATGTCATTTTTGTGCCGGAGGTCCCAGGCCTGGATGCAGTACTCCAGATGGGGCCCCAGAAGTGCAGAGTAGAAGAGGACAAACAGTGAATTCAGTGGTCAGTAGAAGTGAGCAGACAGGCTGTGGAGTCTCCTTCTCTGACAACATTCAAGACTCGCCTGGACACTCTCCTGTGCAATCTACTGTAGGGAACATTCTTCAGCAGGGGGTTGGACTAGATGATCTCCAGAGGTCCCTTCCAACCCTTATAATCCTGTAATTCTGTGATTCAGTGAGACATTCATCATGGTCAGTGTGGACAACCTCCATATCTGCAAGCCCAAGAGTCCAGCAGAGATCTAGTGAAGTGACATCTCATCCCCAGCTGTACGTCTGAAATAGGCTGTGTGACCATGGCATTAAAGTCCATTTCTCTGCACTGACTGCTGAGAAGTTAGGGGTGACTGGTGCATGGCAACATCTCTCTGCTGCACCCACCTAAACTTATATGCCATTAATTCCCAGGTGATGTCCATCAAGACTGAAGTTTGGGAATGATCAGTGAGCAACATGTGGACTAAAGATTCCTTAGTTTCTCCCCACAGTGTGTTATTTTCATTGCAGCTTGTGGCTTTGCTGAAATTCCCACAAATTATTTGTGGTATAATACAGTATTTTTATATATTTAGGTTGGATATTATGAAAAATTTCTTCTTGGAAAGAGCGACGAGGCAGTGGCACAGGCTGCCCAAGGAGGTGATGGAGTCACCATCCCCAGAGGCATTCAAGAGCTGCGTGGATGTGGCTCTGAGGGACGTGGGCAGTGGGTATGATGGGGGTAGGCTGGTGGTTGGACCAGGTCATCTTAGAGCTATTTTCCAACCTTAGTGATTCTGTGATTCTGTATATGAATACAGCTGTCTTGCCCTTTGTGATGGAAAAAAAAAAATATTTTATTGAAATTATGAAAAAGATAAAGCTACAAATGGGGAAATATATATTAGAGATCTGTGATTTTTCAGCACAATCATAATTCAGATACCTCTTTTCTTTCTGCCCCTGGCTCCTTAAATGCCTGCCCAGAGGTCAGCATGTCATTCTGCTGCTTTGTGCTTGGCAAGATGCCCCATCCTCTCAAGCCAAATTAAGACTAGGAGAGACCCCTGAAAATGGCAGTGGTGTGGTGTGCTGGGGGTGCCATCTGTATTTAGTGCTCTGAGCTGCCCGGCACTAAGCAGCTTAGGGTGATCGGCTCTCTCCCAGCTGCTTAGCTGCCTACGGGGCACCGAGCGGGATCTGTATGTGTGCGGGGGCAGAAGCTACTTTGTGGCACCTGCCCATGCTGTGATTCTGCTTGGGAAACCCCAGACAAACGTATTTCACTGAACTCCTCCTCCATCCCCACTTTCCAATGCCTTTCAGCCATGCCCATGCTGTCACTCTTGTACAGTTGCTTAGGACGTGCACACGCCGCTATTTAAAGGACCATCACGACTTACAGGTGATTCAGAAGGATTACTGATATGTTTAAAGCTAAGAGTCTTTGCAAGGATCTGGGTCTTATTAAGTAACTGTGATTTCATTATTGGCATCCTCATCGTTCCTTCCTCTGTTTCTGACACATACTGTGGCATTGAATTTGGGGTGTGAGATTTTAGAAATAAACTGTTCCAGCTTCAGCTGAATTTCTTCTGCTGAAGGCATCTGGAAACTCATTCTTAAATATGAGCTATTTGGGAAAGAAAATGCCCTTATTTGTTTCACTAAGCACCTGGGACATACTGATGCCCAAAACTCAATGAATGAACTACAGATGGTACTACTATGTTCTCTGTTACAAATGCTACTTTTCTCCCATTGATCCAGTTTATGAAAATGCACATGAAGTCCTAATTAGATTCATCAGAATATTTTCCTGTGGGACCTGGAAATAACTCAGAGCTTCTTCTGGATCTCACTGGAAGAGGCCATCTTCACATCCAAAATTTCTTTAACTCCTCTGTTATTCTCATTCCTACTATATTAACCTTTTATTTATTATCTATTTATTCCCTATTTTATCGTGTATGTAGCATCTTGAAATAATTTCCTAAAATGCAACCCCTAATCACAGTTCATTTGATCTCGTCATGCTCTTTCTTATGTTTTAAATTTTGGTTTATCTTTCGTAGCTCTGAACAGTTCCACACCCCCCACACCCCCCATGGTAAATAAGATCACTTTCTGTATAGTTTCTGTCTTTAATAGATTTCTTCTTTGCAGATCTCAGAAAACTTTTAAAATTACTAAAGGTTTTAAAATATTTATAGATTTGGGAATAAACATATAATATTACAAAATGCTCATAAAAATATTTATTACCTAGCTGATTTAAGAGTATGTGACATGTGCAATTCAGAAATACATGTATCATGGTCAACGTATGGGAATTTCAGATTTACTGTTACTGTTAAATTATTCAGTGCGTTGGAGAAACACATCACAGCCATATGTAGCTCTCTATAATATAATTTACAGCTTTCCCTTCAGAAGAATTTTCAGAAATATTTTTATACGCTCTAAC